AGAGTGCTGGCGTCATTGAATAACGTGCACAATCCCAGAAATGGTTCACATCATCAAGTTCATCATGGTTCAGTTTCGAGGAGGTGCTCAGAGACTGTGCGTCTGGGATTAGGGTCTTGTCATGCTGCTGACGAATCCATACGCAAAGCTTTCTTGCGGACGTGACTCTGACATGGGACATGCACCAACATGTCCAATGGCTGTAAAGGGAAAGTGGCTGGAAGCCAATGGGGCCACACGGTCACCGAAAATACTGCCTGCTCCGTTCAGGTCGCGCCGTGACGTAAGCAGCAAGTCCAACATGGTAAATTTGTTTGCACAGACAGGTGCGAGAGATGGGACCTTCTAATCACCTAACCTGCTGCAAAAAGTGCTTGCAACTTGCAGATCGTGCGCAGTGCAGAATTCTGGGAGAAGTTTCGGTTTGGCATTTCGACTCGTTGATCTTCAAGCTTGCAATCTCTCGTTCTGTTGGCAAATCCCGAGTCTTGAGCGTTACCGGAAAGCATGAAATAAGAAGCATGGGACACATACACATCGGAGAGTTGGTTTTCCTGGTCTCTTGCAGACAACGGACGTCGATTTCGAAGCGGGTCCTGTACTTCACAACCTCCATTTCTTTGAGCTTTGTCAATCCCTCAACATTCCAAGACATGAGTGTGAATTGGCTTATATTGCGGGCTGCGCCTCTGCCAATCCCAAGATTGTCCGCCACAGTCTTCCGTCGCAACGACGCCCGAGCCTACTCGGGGCCTTGGCGGCTTTGGCTTTCTCCAAATGGGTTTGGCCTGTACTTGCGATGTCGGCCATCTCTGGCGACTCTTGGAGTTCTTCCCAAGTCTGCCATTCCCCCTCACAGCGTCCGAACTTCAAGGAGAAATGTTAAAGACATACTTTGACAATCTCACTTCCCCCAACCGCAAGCACTCCTGTGTCAATGTCATGTTTGATTGCCAACGTATCGGCATTCCACGAGACGAGCATTTTCTTCATGGCATTGAGACCCCTTTCGACAGTGCGAATGTCAAAAGGTAAATCGACCTTGGCGAAAAGCTGAGAAGACGCAACTTCACCTTGGTTTGAATCACGATGAAGTTTGGAAAAGTCCCTGATGCTTGGGATGAAGCGGTCACGGTGTGTCTCACTTTGGCACTTGACGAAGATCAAGTTGGAAAACGAACCTTTCGTGTGCACATCCATGCGGCCCGGCGGGGTAAGACCAGATTTGACACAATGTTTGTTCCAACACAACCATAGACGGGAACTCGAGTTTCCAAGTTCCTGACCAGTTGAAGTCCGTTCGTTAAAAGGCAATTGAGGTGGAAACGAATCTGATGAACAAATCGGTGCATGGGATCCAGCTTCTTGTCTAGTAGCTGTTCAATAGTCCTCAAAGTAACTGGCTGTCGGGGCAGATGCTGGCTCACTGCAATGACCCGCAAGTCGTCATCAATCCCCTCGTCTCCCTTGTGTCACTTCTGCACTGGGCTTTAGATTGGAGTCGTCATAGAAGGCACAGTAACACAAAGTGTCAGACGAAGGAACAGATGTAAATCGATACTGAGAAGGTAAGTGTATGTAAATACAGTATGTACACTGTTATATATCTCGTTATCCATCTATTTGTCCATCTATCTGTCTATCTATCTATCTAGCTAGCTGGCCAGCTAGCTGCACAAGTTCGACTCAAGGCGAGCTGGAAAAGCAAGTGCCACGGTTCCGGCCTCAGACCGCCACAAGTCAAGTCTTGCAATGCCGGCGACAGAAAGGGGAGTGGAGAGTGAACAAGCATTCACAAGCAATCGTCTCCCTTACCACTCCCCCCCTTTCAACCCGGAATGCCGACCGTAAACTGCCCAAACTTCTGCACAACTTCTGAGGCTCGCAAAAGTGATGTTGGAAAGTTTGGCGGGGGTTTATACTATATATGGCCGGGGGGCAGTGAGGGGGAGTGTGGCAGAGGAGTGTGGGGGAGAGTGAGGGAGTGCTGGGGGCGTGTGGTGGGAGGCATGCAATGCCCAGAATTGTTTAGATTTATGACAAGCAGTTCGACCAATTACGCACAAACTAGCAACTAGCCAACTACGCATTGCGCCAACGCTAGCCTACCTGCCCCCAGACTCGACAAAACGAGAGAGAGAGAGGCTGAGCGAACGAGAGTGAGTGGATGAGAGCAGCGAGCAAGACTGAGCAACAGCGAGCGAGCAGAGACCGAGACAGAGAAAGATAACGAGATAGATACAGAGAGGGAGACTGAGGTCCAAGCCCGCGTGGCAAGCCTGGAAACCGTCTGAACCTCGGCGCGGAGTCTTTGATTCATCTACTTTACACCTAGCGGGTTCAGTTCTGGGTTGGTTTTTGCGCTGTCTGATTTCCGCGCTCGTTGTCTGTTGCACCACAACCGACGTGGCTGTTGGGCGTACATTTTTGGTTGCCACTTCGTCCTACGCCCAAAAACCTGGCCTGCGTGGTATATTCCTTACATCCGGAAACGATGTTCTTTGCGATTTTGCTCTTTGCGCAGTTTGTGTTTTTAAGTCTGTTTCACAATAAACACATCTGGAGCACACAAGAACAACCTTCAAGTCTGAAACTCCTTACGCGAAACTGTTATGAATCTCGAAGCCGGCTGACCGATTCAAAGCCATCCCCAGCACAGCCTCTCTGCCCGTGAACCCGAGGTTTCGACGACATGGTGTGACGAGTGATGCTACGGGTGTTTCGTCGGCAGTGCGCAGGCCAATGGTGGAAAATGGCGTAGGCATCTCGGGGCGCAGCGGGCATGATCATGCCTGCGTTGCGTTGATGGTCGCTGGGTGCGTTGATGGTCGCTGGGACCCGGGACCTGCCTCAAATGGCAAGTGTATTCATGCCCGAATGCAGGGCCCGGACCTGTGCTCGCCCCTCCCACATCTTTGATTGCAAAGGCCAACTAAGGCAAGGGGGATTCACCAACATGTACTGTTGAAGGGAGACAGCTTGAACGCTGGAGAATTCGCACCCACGAAACTCACTAGAAGGCTATGCAGGGTTTATAGGGTTTCCATTGTCAAGAGAGGCCTGAAGCTTGACCGTTTGCGGCCATTGCGCAATGTGCACGTAAATGTTGGAGTGGCCATAAACTGAGTCATCGCTGGCGTCGTAGAAGCCATGCCCCAGAGACCCTAGACAGTCAAGTTACGAATGCTTTACCCTAAACGCAACACCCTATTCAACTGGAAGTTTTAACCTAGTCCGCAGACCCATTACCCTGAATTTAGTTCAATTAAAACCTTACCTGTTCAACTAAAGCCTTAGAACCTGAAGCCCGATCCCTCAGACTTAAAATTCAGGCCCATGCCCAAAAGCACACCACCACACTTGAAACGATGGGTTGGAGTTTGGCTCGGAGCAACTTCAGTCCAAGCAGTTTTGGTAGAGTTTGTTCGACACGGTGTGGGGACACTGGCAATGCTCTCAGCCGACTAGTGACTAGTGATAAGTTGTCGTTCAGTGATTACGTCGGCATGGCCAGTCTGGTCACCTCCGCATTGCGTCGGAGCCTCGTGTCTTCAAACGTGTCAGTTTGACCAGCTGCAGCCCAAATCCAGCATCGACCGGAACGTGTTTGCAGGTATCCAGCTGTCGAAACTGGCGTCCGGCACTCTGGCCGCTCTACCGGAAGGACGCAGCCTCTGTGGAATGGACGATGCTTCAGTCGCTTGCCTCCTCGTGCTACCCAACCCATCGTCTGATCAGGTATCGCTGTTGGGGCAGACCGTCTGCCCTGGGGCCCTCAGACGCAGGACCTGATCGCAATTCATTTGGCCAGGTGTTTCGCTCGTTTGCTTGCAGGATCGACGATTTTATCGCAACCGTGGTGTGCGCATGCTGACGCTGCTCCGCGACACATCGGCACGTTTTCTTTGGAAGCGGTGGAAAGGTATTGAAGCTTCATTGCAGCGAATGTCGTTATGTTATCCGTCGGTGGCACGCGAGAAGCTCAGACATCAGGTTGCAGTACATTTCAATCAATTCCTGAATCCATCCCAGCAACGCTACCGAGATTCCAATTCTTGCTGTGGACTGCAGCGCAAACGTGAGGCACAAGCAGGCCTTCGCAGCGTAACTCCAGCTTTGCGATTAGGGAATACACTTGAGAAAGGCCCTGACCAATCCTCCGATTCGGTCTCGCTGGTGTCATCCTCGGATGCCTAGATGGCACGCGTGGTGCAATCGTGGGATTTGCACCAAGGTCTACCCAGTTTCCTGAGTACTTGCGCCCGTGGGTGGAAGGGAAGCAGTGGCCTGGTTGACAAGCTTCTGGCACGGTGCATGACTTTCAGCACGAGTGTTGAAAGGTATCCTCGACACCCTCACTACAGACAAGCATTTACCTTCCAATGCTACCACAAAACCAAGCCTTCGCCTTGGATGATTCTTTGATGTTTCGTAGTAAACAGCACGGCATCTAGGAGATATGCGGTCCAGCTACTCTTGGATCTTTTTGTGCTGCTGAAGCTCTGCTGAGGCATCTGAGACTGAGATGAGCCACACAAGCGTTCAACAAGTATCACCAGTCGCGAACCTGACTCGCCTTCGAGCAGAACTTAAAATGAAGTTTCTGTACATTGGGTCATTGCGCATGGAGCTATGTTTACGTCAGAACTGCGTCTGTGCTGATGGCGTGCATCTGCTCTGCATGGTTGTAAACTTTTACCAGCTTTCAATCTCAATTTTGCAGCTGCATGGCTGGCAGTTTTGAATCGGTCAGCGGCCAAGCTCTTGTTGCATCTTCGTTCTCACAAAGCACGTGGTGTCGAAGCAGCTGGCTTCGATCAGAGGGATTGCCGCAACAGGTCAGGTTCGAGGCTGAAATGTTTACATGCACACCTGTCAGGGGCCGGTGCAGAAAAGAGTCAGAGCCCTACAAGCCCTACCAGGCGGGGGGCTCGAGCACGGTTTCGCTGCAAGGGCTTGCTGTTGTGACAGTTGCCAGTGGCAGGAAACCCTACTAGACAATGCATCGCGCACTGCTACTCACTCAGACTTTATCAACATCAGCTTGTTGTCATGCGTATGTCTTCGGCAGCACGGTCGTGACGTTCGTGTTGGCGAAGACCGGGCTTCCGAGAGTGGGATAGCACAACGAGCGGAACATGTCGCGGCAGCTGGAAGCTGCCGGTGAGATGGCAGAAACTTTTCCAGGCGCGCGCCTGCCCGGTGCATCGCTGGGCGTGTGCTGCCGCGGCGCCGGGAAAGGGAGGAGGGTCCTGCCATGTGTAAGTGGCTTCTCTGCTTTGAGAGCGTTCAGGCTTTACCAAGTCTGTGTCTCGTTGCATGCAGCGATGAGAACGTTGGTTTGAGAGCCCGTTCAAGTGCCTTTCGCAGCGACCGACTTAGCAGGTGCCGACATTCGCTCGTAGAATCCCTGCGGCCGGTCCTCCTCTCAGCTGTGCGAAGTGCGTGTGGGATTGTCGCCTGTACACGACGGCTTACCCCTCTCTGCGGGGTTCGTGAAGGCTACAGCCGGCCTGGCCCGGGCATCTCGCTGGTCGAGGCATGGCTCCATGCTGCACGGTCGATGTCTAGATCGCTGCTTGCCGGATTTCGCCGGGGGCCAGGGCTTTCTCGACGGAAACTCACGAGTTCAAGGCAAGAAGCCCTGTGACCCATGGCCGAAGCCACATCAGGGTGCTGTTGATTCAAAGGGGCAGAAGCGAGGCTGAGACAAAGAAGCTTCTCGACATCGTAGCCAAGTCCTTGTACACGGACAAGGAGGCCTTAGGCTCAGAAGCGGGCTCTTGTGGGGCGCCTCTTTGGCCTGGCTTTCTTCCTCCAGGTTTTCATAAGAGAGCTGATCTCCAACGCATCGGATGCGTGTGAAAAGCTCCGATTTTTGTGCGAGCCTCGTTGGACGGCTGCCTGTTGCTTCACGCGAAGCTGTTGAAGCAGATGGTTGTGAACGCCGTAAGGCAGGGAACGCAGCAGATCAAGGATGTCAATGATGCAGACGTCCCGTCGCAGCCTCTGCATACGCAAATTCGAATTTCACGTGCTTCTGGGGCAAAACACCCTACTACATCTGGAGGGACAGTGTGCTTTGCACCAACATCAGCTCCTGTGGCACTTCAGGCTTCAGGTTACCCTGAGCGTGAGCGAGAGCGACAGGCGCCAGTGCCAGTCTTCTTCTGGTCCGCATGCAGTATGTATGTACGTATGTACGCAGGATGCAGGTAGGTATGCATGGTGCTGTGGCGCCGTTCCAAGTACCGAAGGCATCCCTGCCCGATGGTTCTAGTGTCGGCTTTGCTTGCATGCTGCTTTCATCCCTGTATGATGCTGTATTCACCTGCGTTTGTCGCAGGAAATTCATCATCGAAGATTCAGGCATCGGCATGACTCACGATGAGCTGGTCGACTGCTCAGTGAGTCTCAGTGAGTACTCGACCATCGCTCCCTGCAGATGAAATGAACTGTCATCCTGACCGCCGCTTCGAGCCTTCATGATGAAGATGCATGTAGAAGACTTTGCATGATCACTGTACCATGGTGAAAGGGTACCAGCCGAATTTCAGTCCCAGCCGCTTGGACTGCAGCTGAAGGTGGCACTGGCACAGGTGTTGGTTCGGACTGTCCGGCCTGGCTTATGCCTTCCTGGATGGACTTGCGAAGACTCCAATCACACTGTTTACTTGCACGGCCGACTCTTCGGGGTCTACGTTGTGTCTCTACACTGTTCTAGCTTTGCGCATCCTGCTCGAAAGCGTAGGGTCCAGGATGACCGTAAGAACGAGTTGTCGGTTGCCTGCTGCAAGCTAGTGACGCTAGTGGCTGCGGTTGGGTTGTGCGGGGTGTACCGAGGTCAAGCGTGGAAGCTTTGTCAGAAGGTGCGGGGAACTTCCCAGACATCCCAAGAAGTTGCTCTGCTGCTCCAGCCTCTCCTCGAAGACTGGAAGAGCCAGCCGAAGCTCGCCACAAGCACGTTGAAGAACTTACGTGCCGATGCTGCCCTTGTGTTGAACATCCTGGGAGCAATGAGTGCCTTCAGATTGGAAATGATAGCACAGTATTTCAATATAGCCATCGACAGCTGCGGAAGATCCGGTCTCTGGGCCCAGGCCCTGTTGGTGTTGCGGAGCATTAGCCTCTCGGAGGTTTTGCCCAGTGCAGTAAGCCACACGAATGCCATCAACGCTTGCCGAAAAGCCTCCAAGTGGACTCAAACTTTACATCTGCTTTGGCATGCGCTGGAGTCGAGACTCTCTCCGGATGCAGTGCTGTTCGGTGCAGCTATGAACGCTTGTGCCGGACATGGCATGTGGGAAGCAGCTCTTTGCATCTTGTCGGACATGCATCGTCATCATGTTGAACCTGGTGTCGTAGCATACAACATTGTACTGAATGCTTTAGACAAAGGTGGAAAGTGGAGAAAGGCGCTGGAGCTGTACTTCAACCTTCCTTCTCATGGCATACTTGCCAATGCTGTGTCGAGCAATACAGCCATTACAGCCGCAGCTCGGCACTCGCAGTGGCAAGGGATTCTGGACGTACTGGCTCGCCTGCCCGGTTTGGGTCCCGCTTCTGCCGATGCAGACACCTTCGCGAACTCCCTACAAGGTTTGGCAAAGGCCTGGCGTTGGGAAGAGGTGACATCCTTGCTCGTTGCTCGCATGTCGTCGAAAGGGGGTGTGAAGGTAAGCCTCAGTGTCCTTGAGATCAGCGCGGCCATGACAGCCTGTTCCAAGAGGACGAAGTGGGAGTGGGCTTTAAGTCTGCTTGGTGCTGCCCAAAGGATGAACGCAGTGGATGGTCCCCTGTACACTACGGCCATCACTGCATGTGGGCGCTCCACGAAGTGGAGGATCTCCCTCTCACTGCTTGCAGATGTTGTTGCACAACGACTTCCTGCTGATATTATTGCTTACACTGCAGCTCTTGCAGCATGTGAAGGTGGTTCTTGGCAGCAGTCCATATGCTTACTGTCCAACCTGAGGCAAAGTCGCTTAAAGGGGACTCTCTTGACCTATACACCTGTCACGAGGGCTTGTGCCAGTGCGGAGCAATGGCAGAGTGCACTATCATTGTTAACAGAGCTTCGGGATGAGGCGGTTGAGCCTGATGTTGTGCTTTGCACCTCCGTGGCGTGTGCATGCACAGCCGGTGGTCATTGGCACAAAGCGTTACACCTTTTCCTGGAGATGCAACTCCAGCGAATTAAAGCAGATGGGCCTGCCGTAAATGCAGCTATTGCTGCCTGTGACAAGGGTGGGGACTGGCGGAGAGCGCTGCTGTTCTTTGCTGACTTCCCTTGTGAACGCAACCAGAGCACATGCACTGCCGCAATCAGTGCTTGTAGCAGTTCTGTGCAGTGGCAGCAGGCTCTGCGTTTGCTGAAGCTTTGGCAGGATGATGACAGGGGTGGAGGTCCTCCGCTGGCATCCGCATGCTTGCCGTGCACGGCAGCCGTGTCTGCGTGTGGACAAGTCAAGCAGTGGGAACGTGCAATTGCACTTCTGGACAGCATGTCCACGGCTTCTGTGGCAGACACCGCCATGTTCAATGCAGCCATAAGTGCAGCCGGACACGCGCAGTGGCAGCTTGCCCTGGAAGTGTTTGCCAGACTTACATGGTCAGATTCACCTCCAGATGCCATATCGTATTCAGCAACTATGAACGCTTGCGTTGAGGCATCTCAGTGGAGCAGAAGTATTCTGTTGTTGGAAGAGTGTTTGAACACGTTTACTGAAACAAGCGTGCCGCTGTTAAATACAGCCATCAGTGCATGGGCGCGATGTGCTGCCTGGCAGGCTGCCTTGTCTCTGATGGCACAGCTGCAAGAGCAGCACCTGGAGTGCAATGAGATCACGCAGAGTGCGCTTATACACGCATGTGGATGCAGTTTGAGGTGGAGCGCAGGTCTCCAGATCTTAGACGCGACGCGAGCCTGTGATTTAAGAGCGAACAGTGTGACGTTTGGTGCCATCGCATACTCTGGCTACCGGAGCCAGATGTGGCACCTTGCTATCAGCGTCCTTGAATCTATATGCAATGCAGAGATGCAGCCGTCCCTCGCAACATACGACTATGCCCTGCTCGCCGCAGAGGGTGCTGGGCACAGGGAGCAAGCTTTGCAGGTGCTGTTTACATCAGAGGAGCAGCGGAACCCGCAAAGCTTCTTATGGGCAGTGGCCACTCTTCGCGCCTCAGATCCAACGGTGATCCATGCTGCTTGCACGGAGGTACTTACAGAGCTGTGCAAGCTGGGCGAGGAGGCAGATATCGACAGCAAGACGCTGTCAAGGACTTGGTGGTCCGTCGGAATACTGGGTGCACGCGGCCCTGCGTTTGAGAGACGAATGCTCCAGCAAGCTGTGGTGCAACTTCGCTCTTTCTCCTCAGAAGAGCTGAGCATGATCTCTGCAGGTGCTTCTATGACGGGAGCTTTTGGTTTCCTAGACCTTTTGCAGGAGGAACTCGCAACTCGTGCAAGCAGTGGAGTAGCATTAAATGACTTGTCTTTCAGTGGCGCCATGGAAGTCCTGGGCATCCTCTTCTCTTGCAGAAGTGTCGGGTGCCTGCGTGCCACGTCTTACTCGGTTATTCAGAGGAGGATGAGGAGCCTTGGACGGCTGCTGGATGCTTCCAACTTGCACTCTTCTCCTGGCACAGGGACATGGAATCCGGAGCATGCTGAGGCATCGAGCGAGCAACCTCGCGTGGCTCTGAGCCTCGCAGACCGCTTTGTGGTGCACAAGCCGGATGGCTGGGAGGTGTATGGAGCGCACGTGAAGCTGCAGCTGCTGGAATTCGTGCAGGGCATGTTTGGTCGCGCACCCATCTTCCAGGATCCGATGCACAACCATGGCTTCCTGCATCGCCTGGATGTGCCGAGCTCCGGCTTGATCTTGGTGGCGAAGACATACGAGGCCTTCTATGACTTGCAAACCCAGCTGCACGCTGGCGAGGTGGGTCGGGACTACACGGTCCTGTGCCACGGCTGGCTTCCAAGTTCTGTCAGGGAGATAACCGCCAGCACCTGGTGTGAGGATGATCGCCCGACTCTGTGTGGTGGTCGGGGAAAGCCGAGTGCCACACAAGTTTGCGGTCACAGCCACTATTTGCATGAGGTTGGAGCCTTGAGCAAGGTCCTCTTGACAATTGCAACGGGTCGCAAGCATCAGATACGTAGTCACATGGCTCACATTGGCCACCCGACTGTCCGTGATGGGACCTATGCAGGCAAGACTGCCTTCAACTTTGATGTCCTGCTATGCTCACGAAATTGGCTGCATCGCCACCGGCTTCGATTTCGCGACCTGCAGGGCAGAAAGTCGGACATTTACAGCCATGTGCCAGAAGACCTGGAGGCATCCTTAGAACGCGCAGCGGTGATCAGATGCCTAGTTGCTGGCCACGGGTCACCCAGGTCGGCCGGCTCAGGACTGAAAAGAGAGCACAGGTTTTCGCTGAAACCCGGGATCTACGTGGTATGGTAGTGAACGCTGGTAGTTCGCAGAGAGAGAGAGAGAGAGAGAGCGCAGGGATCGGGCTACGTAATGTAGATGCGGATGCGTCAATGGGAACGCACAGCTCCGCGAGTCGCGGGATCTTGCATTATGTTGGCCTCCTTTCCGTTCCTGCTGTTGCTTCACATTCAATGTAACATTGTTCATCCTCAAAAGGGCTCCAAACATGTACCGGTCATGTCGGAGAAGTAGAAGGAAGAGCGTTGGGTCTCATGTATCTTCAGTGCAGCTGGATGGTCAAGCCTGTGGAGGCGGTCGTAGGAGGGAGCCCAGATCCATGGCAGCATGCGCTTGAGAGGAGCTCCCAGGCAGGCAGGTTGCCTGGCAGGTTGTACAGCGCGTCTGCGAGAACAGCCTCCGTTTCCACGCAGTGGGGGGCGTGCCTTGAAGTCCTGCGTCAGTTTAGTCTGACCGGATGCGTGGATTCGTGGTCTTTGGTGATCACCTACGGTGCTTCCATCAGTGGCTGTGCTGGTTCATGGCGCTGGCGGACTAGCCTGTCTTTGGCCAGGACCTTGCAACATGCAGCTTTGCAGCTAAACACCGTCATTTGCAATGCCTGCATTAGCACTGCTCAGAAGCGCGGACAGTGGCAGCAGAGTTTGGTGATGCTTGACCAGATCGCAGAGGCAACCCTTGAGGCAGATGTATTCAGCTGCGGTGGTGCCATTGGTGCATGTGAGAAGAGCGGCCGGTGGGACAACGCTCTGCTGCTGCTCGGAGACTTGGAGTTGAAGGCGCTCCGGGCAAACATCGTCACGTTCAGCGCGGCTCTCAGTGCATGCGCTCGCGATGGAAAGTGGCAGCAAGCTCTGATCACGGAGATGCAGCAGCGTCAAATACAGCCAACCACCGTCACGTACAACTCTTTAATCACCTCGTGCCATGCAGGCCAAGCGTGGCAACGTTCCTTAGCCTCCTTCGAAAATCTCCGAAGAAACCAGCTGTATCAAAGCGCAGTAACGATTGGTACTGTCGGAACTGCAGCTCGGGGTAGCATGCAGTGGCAGCAGTCCTTGAGAATTCACAGTCAATTTGCAGCGCATGGGTTGGACAACAGGGTTTTGCATACTTCCACAGTGCTTGCCTGTGCTGGCAAACACCAGTGGCAATTGGCTTGCCAGTTGCTCTCAGTGCTGCATGCAAGCTTCGTGCGGCTTGGGACGGACGTTTGCAATGCGTGCATCACGGCATTGGGCAGACAATCGCTGTGGCAACACGGTGCCATTGTCTTTTCACAGCTGCAGCATGGGACACTTCCAGATGACTTAGTTCGCTGCAATGTGATGCTGGACGGCTTCGAAAAGTGTGGAATGTGGCAAAGTGCCCTCTGCATCCTAGGGATCGTGGCAATGACACGACTTCTGCCTGACATAGTCACCTGCACCTCCAGCATCAGCGCTTGTGGAAGGGCAGCTTCCTGGCTGCACTCTGGGCTTATCTTGCAGCAGTTGCGTGATTTGGGCCTCCAAAGCAACATCATCTTGCACAATGCCGTGCTAGCTGCTTGGGAGAGGAGCCACCAGTGGGAGCTTTCAATGAGAACCATCGGTCTCATGCATCAGAGGCGACTCGGACATTCCCTGAACGCTTTTGACTCGGCACTGCTTGCCTGCCAGCAAAGCGGACGCACCGACCTTGCTTGGCAGCTGTGCCGCGACTCCGAAGCGTTTCGATCTCCCGTCTCTTTCCTTTGGTCCCTGGCGTCACTGGGTGTTTCTGATCCGACGGTAATCAGCGCTGCGTGCGCATCGGCTGCTGTGTGCGAAGTGGAGGAGGTGCCATACCTTATGTGGTCTTCCGCCATTCTGGGTGTGGAACCAAGTCCGCAGCTTCGCCGATTCTTAAGGCATTCGCTTGCCTCTCCAAAGTTCCTCGCGTTGGAAATGCAAGCCGTGAGCATGGCCGCGTACGGTGCTGGCGTGCTGCGCGGCAGCGCTTTGGAGTTTCTCAGCCGAGTGCAGGAGGCGCTGCGAGTGCGCCTGCACTCAGAGGCAGGCATGGAGCTTGAGCGACTCGCATTCCATCGCGCCGACGGCCAGGAGTTGCTGGGCGTTTTGTTTTCCTGCAGCCTTGCCGGTGCCTTGCGAGCAGGGTTCCGAGAGGCTGTGGCTTGCAAGCTACAGGATGTGGCTGTGGCTTTCGATCGATGTCGACTTCGATCTCGTGTCTTCAACGGCGCAAAAAACCAGACTACTGCTAGCTGGCAAAGCTCGACCCGAAACCGAAAGAATCCTGAAATCTCTGCTGAGACACGGGACCGCTTTGTGGTGCACAAGCCGGATGGCTGGGAGGTGTATGGAGGGCACGTGAAGCTGCAGCTGCTGGAATTCGTGCAGGGCATGTTTGGTCGCGCACCCATCTTCCAGGATCCGATGCACAACCATGGCTTCCTGCATCGCCTGGATGTGCCGAGCTCCGGCTTGATCTTGGTGGCGAAGACATACGAGGCCTTCTATGACTTGCAAACCCAGCTGCACGCTGGCGAGGTGGGTCGGGACTACACGGTCCTGTGCCACGGCTGGCTTCCAAGTTCTGTCAGGGAGATAACCGCCAGCACAGTCTGCTTGACGGATGCTCCGACGGTGGCCGGCGGCCGTGGGCGGAAGAGCGTCACGCATCTTGGGATCTGTGAACACTATGCGGTGAGCACGAGCACTCTCAGCCGATCACATGTCAGCATCGTCACGGGAAGGAAACATCAGATTCGTTGCCACATGGCGCACGTGGGCCACCCCATTGTTCGAGACAAAATCTACACAAGTTTTCGCACCTTCCAGGAGGATGCCGCATTTTGCATGCGCAATTGGCTGCACCGATTCCGGCTCTCATTCACGGACGCAGAGGGTGTTGCTTGCGAAGTGAGTGCAGACTTGCCCTCGGATTTAAGCCGGTCGTTGGCAAACCTGTCTTTACACAGGTTGCGAGTTGTGCTTGTTACTGGGACTGCGGGGGACAAGCGCGAGCATCGCAAGAGCGTGTTTACACGTGTGTGAATCTTGACGCAGATTCCTGAAATGCCTTGCTTGTTAACCGGGTGGCTGAGGTCGAGCATCTGGGCACTATCGCAAAGAGCGGTTCCCTAGATTTTCTTCAGCGCCAAGTGCTTACGCAGCAGCGCTCACGTCATCCCCGTGTCCCGGATGATCTAGAGTGTCCGACAGGTGGAGAATCTGACGCGAGCAAGATCATTGGGCAGTCAGGATCTCAGACTCTCAGGCTGTGGTCCAGTTTGAGGTCCACAGGACACAGGAGCAGCTACAGGTTTCTTGCACGTGGAGCGGATGTGCTGTTTGGATGCTTTTGCTTCGTTTCTAGTTACTGGTTTCTTCAGGCGATTTGTTTCTGGAGCACTTTGTCCTCCAGCCATATGTTCCCGCACACGACCTAGCTTGCCTTCACTACATCATCATTTCTGGGGTGGGCCTGTGAACCCAGAAGGGGCTTCGGCTGCCGAGAAAACACGGAGTCGACAGACAAGGTTCCAGGCATGGGAGCCCTTTTCCACCTGAGTGAAAAGTTGGGTGCGGCCCGTCTGGCTTCACAATGCGGAACCGGTTCACGGATTGTCATCCGTGTCCTGCTGATGGAAGTCTGCGCCTGTTCCCATTGTCTGGTCCGCATTGTCGGATGAGCTTAGTGGCTCTGGTGCATTATCGACCCTGCGGCTGTAGCTCTGCAACCTCGAGGTTTGGTGTGGGCTTTTACTCGACGTTCGTGGTGGCGGACAAGGTGGAGGTGCAACAGACAGTGCGACAGCCTACTGTTGCAAGCTTCGCTGAAGCTTCTGCATGCAGCAGGTTTACACCAAGACGGCTGACAAGGAGAAGGGTGTACAGGGCTACCTGTGGACTTCAGACGGTGCAAAGCTCGAATGCTCCAGGCCGTCCCGGCCCTCTGTTTCCGGCTTTTTAGTCTCGAGCTCCAAGGTTCCGGCAGTTTCACTGTCACCGAAGTGGACGACGTGCCTCGGGGCACCCGCATAGAGTAGTTGCCTCGACTGCTTCCGGGTAGGCACAACCTTCAGCTCTGCCTGCGTTGTTAAGCGTTCGGTACAAGAGCACCATCAGGCTAACACTCAAAGATGATGCCACCGAATTTGCCAAGTTGGCCGTGCACTTGGATGTACGTCTCGTGACGTGTGCCGGCTTGGAGCATCCAATGGCCAGGCAACGGTGAAGAAGTCCGCCCAGAAGCCGCTGCTTCAGATTGTAGGCTGGGCGTCTGGTGGACAACTCGGCTTCACGAGCTGAGGTTCTCTTCTTTCATTGACTTTCCAATCAACATCCGCGAGGACTCATCTGATCCCATTGATTTGAGAACGCCGTGCCCTGGTCAACTCCAGGATGGAGATCCAAAGCCGATCAACAAGCAGGAGGCGAGAAGAGGGAGGAAGCATGGTGCCGGAAGCATTCTGAATCAAAGAACTGTCGCCAAGATCCAGGAAAGCAGCCCCATCTGGAGTTTTTGCAACTATGGCACATGATCACTGGAACCCCTAGACAGTCTTGCAGTCCACTCCGTAGAACCATCATCGATAGGCTCTGTGGATGAAGAGCTCAGCGACAGAGGAGCAGCACCTGGAGCTCCTTGACACTAAAATGGTTCCGTGTCCTCGAAACGTCTTTTTGTGTGGGCTCGTGATGGGGCAGGTTCTTTCGTTTCCTCAGTGGCAACTCCTATGGAAAGCCATACTACACTTTGCGGGGGCCTCAAAAGTTTCGAACCATGCTGATACTGACGCCTAATTAGCCAAGCAGAGTTGAGAGTGGTGCCAAGCCCCAGGATGTATCAGACGGACGCCCCGCTGTCCATCAAAAGCTGCTGAGCTGTACAGTCCGACCAGTGAGTCCGGCTGTTGCTTCCGATGCAACCTCCCCCGAGAACTGAAGAGCTTTTTTGTTGCCCCTCAGCTCAGGCTGTTTCTATGTCCCCGATCCTGACAACGCCCCGAGCAGGGTGTTCACCAAGGATCCCGAAATAGGGGTGGGGTGCTCAGCTGCATGTGGTGTCCTCTCCGTCCTTTCCTGCTTCGCCGAGATTTCGCTGCATTCGCGGCGGGTCATGGTGAAGAAGCATGCAGATGGCGTCATCCCGAAGTGGCTTCACTGGATGAAGGCCCTTAGACAAGAGCTTTGACTTTTGTGCATTGCATGTGGGGGCGGGTCCTCCTTTGCAAGACCCGCGCAAGCTGACAGGGAATTGTGGATTGCGAAGACATGCCCATGCGCCTCACCGGCATCTAGCTGAATCTAGCTTGTACGAATGTATGGCACAACTGGAGACATGCCGAATATTTGCGAACTGACAGGAACATCAGCCGAGAGAACATGCAAGACACCCGCCTGATGGAAAAGTCTGAGCCTGTGAGTTTGGAGCAGGGGAAGTTGTCCAATCGTGCTACACTTTGCCTGCATCTGCTGAGGCTCAGCATGGCGGTTGTAAGGCGGGTTCTGAGGTTCCTGCAGCAGGAGGTCGGCTACAGTGCAAGCGACATGACCAGATGGGTCAACAGGCAGCTACTGGTCTCGGATTGCAGGCCAAGAAAGACTCGGAGAAGTACAACAAGTTCTTCAAGGGCTACTCCTACTTCCTGAAGGCTACAGACTTCTGTCGGTGGACGCCAGAAAGCTTCTCGCGAGTTTTCAATGCCCTCAGGCCGGCATCATCGAGGACAAGGAAGGAAATTTCAGCCGCAGCGGTCTCAAACTCTCGCAGAGGCCCGAAACCCCGAGTCTTGGGCAGTTTCAGGTCACAAGGACGACCTCCTGAAGCTGTTGCGCTTCGAGCCCGAGCTCTCGGCCCTCTTCCGAGCCTCCCCAGTCGTCTTGAACTTCGTTGGGCCCAAGGTGCTCCAACAAGCCCAAGGGTGAGTTGGTTTCCTTGGAGGCTCGCTCCCTCACGTGCCTAGACCTAGACTCCGGAGTTTTGTGTCGCAGGAGTACATGAGCATGGCGAAGGAGGGACAGCAGAACATTTACTACTTCTGCTGCGCAGCCCCGAGTCCCAAGCAGCCTTCAGGGGGCTCTGCAGAGCTCCTCTTTCCCTCGCCGCTAGGCCCTGACCGGCAAACAGCACTGTCGTCCCCGTACATGGAACAGCCGGAGGCTTGGAAGCCTCCTTCAGCAACCAATGGTTGCGTGTTCTGACTTGCATGCACACATTTTCCTTTGAAGATCCCCGACTGTCGCCGAGGTTCGTGCAGAGGCAGCAGCTGCCCCAGCTCAGGGAACTGTCGTGCCTCCTTTGGCCGTGCTCGACTGGCAGCTGCAGGCGGAATGTTCTTCTCCTGTACGAGGACATCGACGAGTTCGTTGCCGGGCACCCGTCACGTCTTCGTGCCAGTTGGACAAGGGAGTCCGACGAAGCTCTGAGTGTTTTGGAGGTCAATGCGATTGAGGGCTTCAAGGTCTGTTACTTGGGATACGACTGCGAAGGGCAGTTGAGAGTGAGAGCGCGGCCCCTCCTCTGCGCGACGATCTCCAGAGGACAGCAAGTTCGTGTCCGTGGACTCGGCTGACAAGAACTTCGAGTGGAAGCCTCTGGTGGTCACCGCCGCGAGCCTGAAGCCTCGAGCTACCGAGGCTGGACTTGGACAAGCCTGAGGAGGATGAGAAGGAGGCTGCGCCGTGAGCACGGGGGCTGATTTGATCCGCCTCAGCTGCGGATTGTAGCCGAACCTTGAGGACAGGAGAGAGCTCACTGAGCAAGAAAAGGAAGCGATGCAGAAGTTCATCAGGGATGTGCTGAAAGAGAAGGCGGAAAGTGAGAGGTCATGTGCGTGGTACAAATCTGGAAGCATCTACAGGTGCAGGAAGTGAAGTTCTCGGACCGCCTTGTGAACTCTCCGGCTCTGGTGCCGGCAGCTCAGAATCAGAAAGAGGGTTTTCGTTCTGTAGAGTCTGCCATACTCTACAGTCTTCAGGGTGAGAAAAGCAGACTCAGAGCTGCAGGACCAGTATCATCACACCGCACATGCGCAAGATGATGAAGAGCCTAATGGCCGGCAAGGACAGGCACATGCCACTGCACTAGGGTTACCCTTGGTCAGCTTCGTGGTCTGAAGTAACCGCAAGGAGAATGATGGCCTGTCGGTGCCCCAGCAGACAGGGGGGGCAGGAACAGTGGCATTAGTGGCTGCTCTCTCCTCTCCTCTGAGGGGCAACATCCCAATGACGCTGGAGCTCAGCCCGAAGCATCACATCGTCACAACGCGGCAGCCCCGGGAGGAAGCCGAAAGCCTTCGCTTTTGCCTTCGGCTCTCTTCGCTGTTCGGTGATGAAGCAGGGTATGTGTAGACGAGAGCTGCGTGGGGTGGTGCTTCCTCTGGAGTGTCATCAATGTTCTGGGATCGTCCTGCCTAGACTTTGTCACTACTGAAACAAAAGGAGTCACATGGTTCTTCAAACTCCGGTCGCACGTCCGTGCAGAGCAAGCTTGCAAGGAAGGGTTGCCCATACCTTCTGGGACGGCGTTGGAAGCCTTTCTGGGCCTGGCTTTGAACATACCTTCCAATGCTTTCATCTCTCACGGAAGTCTTTTTGATTGTTAGTGCCTTGGCGGAGACGTAAACGTCTAGATCCCGGGCTGAAAACTTGGAGAAGCATGGAAACATTTATTTTCAGGTGTGGAGCCCGTTACCCGGCGTGTGCAGAAATCAGCCTGCATCCTTTCGTGAGCTCGCAAAGCTGGATGTGCGTATGTAAGTGGGCCTGAGGGCCGCTGGCCACCGGATTTCTCTTTGTCTTTCGTGCTCTCCTTCGTCCGTTCCCCACTCGCCTCGTTTTCAGACAAGGCTCCCTTTGCGATTTGTGTAGCTGTTTTTCGCCCATCGCCTCGGCTCTGCACTTGCTGCAGCACCTTGGACCTTGATCGCTCTGGGCCTCGGAGGCTGGCGACGATCCTGGCTTCCAACGAGCCGGTCGCGCGCATCGCGGCCGGGGCCCTGGTCCGTTTGGCGGCGGTTGGCTCGCGCCGTTTGAGATTCGGGGCATCTTGGGGCTTGGGGCCCGGCTCAGAGGCTAAAGCCGAGGAGCCACAGTTTGTCAGGTGGAGCAGCTCTACGACAATGCTTGCATTGCCGCCGGCACGCTCGACGACCCGCGAGTGCTGATGTCCAGACTGAACAAGGCCGTGGCTCGTGTTGCATAGTTTGCCGGAAAAGCTAGCAGCCACTCCGAGGTGCTTGAGATGTTCATCTACCAGGGTGCCGGTTTTGATTATGCCTACCACTAAGCTGTGCAGCGTGGAGGAGCTCGGCGGCTTCTCGCCAATAGTTTTTTGCCAAGGCCACGGGTCAGTACCATCTGCCCGCACCACCTCCTCAGCCGAAGGCGAGGACAGTTCATCGCATGAACCGCCGTTTGCCTTCTTCGACCGATCTCCGAGCAGATCGACTGGTGAGGGGACCTGAGAAGAATGCTGAGGTCCAGCCCGCTGCCGAGGAGACTCCACGAGAAAGTGCTAAGGCCAGGAGCGGGCGAACAGGAAGTTGCGAGTTTCGGGGTTCTTGTGGGAAATATCGGTGTCCGGTTTCGGTGTGGGGTTTCGGAACATGCCGCGGGCAGCTTCGGATCAAGCCCGGTTCAGTTTCGGTTCAATGCCGCGGTCGGTTTCGGACACATTGTGCAAGGAACACTGTAGGTGACGGCGGTACATCACATTTTCAAACCCGCCCCCTTTATTGCGCGATGGTGGTTGATCATATTTCTTGAAACCGGCCTCTGTTTTGGCGATGGCAGTTTATCGCATTTCTGAAACTTTATCGATGCTTCCGTTAGGCGGCGTCAGTTGATCACACTGGGGCCACTCATGAGGCAAAAATGATTGATCCCACCATAACAGTATTCGTACGTCCTACTACTACTACTACTACTAGTACTGGTAGTAGTAGTAGTACTACTACTACTACTACTACTACTACTACTACGACTACTACTACTACTACTACTACTACTACTACTACTGGTTCTAGTGTTACGAGTACTACTAGATATTAGATATATAGTAACAGTATAGAAAGTTGTTTTTGCCATTGCCTTCACCACTACCACTAATTACAATTTCCAGCACCACGCTATATGTCACAAGAGTAACGCAATACCCCACACCACGGAGTTGGTGCCAAAAACACACCGAAATCAAGAGAGGGTCGTCTTCGCCATGGTTTGCATGGCGAAAGCAAGCGGCCGTTGCGTTCAACATGGTTTTGATGCCAACTCTTTGTGCGAAACAGCACAGGGTGAAGGCGTGCGGCGTTGCCTGCGGTTGTGCCTAAAAGTTTGGAGCCAAAACACGCGGTGAACGCAAGCGGCCGTTTCCTTCACCATAGTTTTGGTGTCAGAACCACACAGTGCAGGCAAACGGCGGTGCACATGGTGCTTGGTTTCAGCAGCCAAGGAACCCGGTGAAGGCAAGATGCCGTAGCCCCGACCATGATTTGGGTGCCTCAAAACAGTCGGTGCCTTCACCGTTGCGGCTGTTGCTTTCACCATGATTTTGGTGCCGAAAACACATGGTGAAGGCAATCGGCAGTCGCCTTCACCATCGGTGAAGGCAAGCGGCCATTGCCTTCACCATGCTTCTGTTGACAGAAACACGAGCGTGATTTTTGGCTGAAAACACAAGGCTCGCCCTGAAAACACACGGTGAAGGCAAGCGGCCGTTGCCTTCATCAGCTTTGGCGCCAAAACCATGGTTCTGTTGCCAAAACACCATGAAGGCAAGCGGCAGTCCATGGTGTTCGTACCGTGGTTTTGGTGGCAAAAAGCACATGGGTGGCTTTGGCGCAAAAGCCCCACGGTGAAAGCAATCGGCCGTTGTGTTCACCATGGTTTTAGCGGCAACATATGGCAACATCACACGTTAAAAGCAAGCATGCGGCCGTTGCCTACGCCTTGGTGCCAAAAACACAGGGTGATCGCAAGAGCGCCCGGTGCCTCCACCATGGCTTGGCGGCCGTACGGCAAGCGGCCGTTTACTTCACTACGAAGGCAGTGTTTGGTGCCAAAAGCACACGGCGTGGGCAAAAGGCCTTTATCTTCACCATGGTCTTGGTGCCAAGAACACACGTAGAAGGCAAGCGGTCGTTTCCTTCAACATGGCTTTGGCATCAAAAGCAGCGAATGGTTCTGGATTTGAAGGTCAATATAGTCAAAGGAGGGGCCATTGTCCCCAGCGCGCGCAGAGTCTATGCACAGACGCAGTTGATATCACGATTCTCAACTCCACGTCCTCATGAGACGATGGCGGTTTATCAAGTTTCCTACACCATGATGAATGACGGTTTATCGCGTTTCTCAAGCCAGGCCCCTCTTTAGGCCAAGGCGGATCCATGTCTTTACCTCTCCTCTTATTTGGCGATTGGTTCGCTGTCGTCGTCGTCGTCGGTCGCGGTCGTGTTGCTGGCCTGTTGTTGGTGTTTGGTCGTGCGTGCGTTTCGCCGTCATCGTGCCTGTCGTCGTCCTCGTTGTGCGTGGTTGTTGTTAAATGGTCCGTTTTGAGGCTTGCGAATGATCCATTTATCTGAGTCCTTCGTGGTTCACTGATGTGGTAGGAACAAAGAAGGTGCGACCGAAACTGCCGACCCTGGTTCCCGAAACTGGGAAAGCTTTGCTCCGAAACTGACCGGGTTTGTTCCAAGACTCCCCCCCCGTGATCCGAAACCCCGAGCAAGCGATCCGAAGCTAGAACCCCGAGACCGAAACCGTGGGCACCCTGAGGGGATTGAGTTGGACCGGGCATCCTGTGTCTGAGGACAGCACTGCCAGCGGTTCCGGCACCTCCTCCAAGTTCGAGGAGATCAAGCCAGGAAGCTCGCCGTAGGACCTGCGCAGCCGGAAATAGCTTCCGATGTGCACTTCGAGTCCCGAGTTGCGGGTGTGGCCGAAAACACTTTGGCCGTGCTGACGCGAGAACGAGGGCTCTTGGTAGGATTTGACATCCCGTCGTTTCGGCAAGCCAGACCGTTTCAAATTGAAGCTTGGTCTGCAGCCAGTGAACGTTAACAAGTCGGCTCCGCAGTCCCTTGCGACTGGTGCGGGGCCGCAGATACCGAACCTGTTCTGCGTCCTGCAGGAAAGGGTCGTGTGAATGATTCGTGTACGAGGTGTATGCTGTCTCCGTCGAGGTCGAGCTTTGGTAGAGTTCCAAGATTCTTGGAATCAAGCTTTGGTGTGCTTCTGCTTCTCTGAGGCAAGGGGTCGAAGGTAATCATGCGATGCAAGGCTTTACGCTTTCGGCGGGCTAGCGAAGGGTGACCCAGAACTGTCGTTGTCTTCCGACTTGCATGATGATGTCCGACGCACGGGTGTTTCTCTTTTGTCAGAGCCGACACGACATTGGCGCATTCTGGCTCGATCTCAGTCCCTCGGCGCTGGGTGCTGAGGCGGGAGGGCCGAGGTGCACTCTAGAGGAGCGCGATTGTCTCGCAAGCAGGAGCGCCAAAATGGCTGAGAAAGAGGGCGAAGAACTCCCGGAGGCTGGCTAACGCAAAGAAATATTTTTCTCCAAGCTGGAGAATAGAAAAAGCTGGCAATAGCTAGCAATAAATGATGATCAGGTTGCATCTTCCCTATTGCGGTTTTGGGACTTCCACTTGACATCCTTGCCCTTTGACGGATAGGGCCTGGTCAGCTGATCGGCATAGGGCACAGGGAGCACGAATCGAAGTCAGTTGAGCCAGCGATTGACTTCGGAAGGAAACTTTGTCCCTGAACTGGACGGCCGAACACCATCTCAACGCCAAAAGTATGCCTGGTTGTCAGGCCTCAGGCCCGCCCCAGGTGCCCGCGACTCAGAGGGAGGAGGGCAGAAAGGACAGCCTTGGCAGAAACCGGTGGAAGCAGTCTGTGAAGCGTTGACATTGGGTGCGTGAATGTGTGCCTTCCTTCAATTCATGCAGGCACGCCTGCTAGTATGTCTTTGCAAAGTTGGAGTACTTATATAACTCATATACTTGTATGAATATATGCATATGAGTCCGTATGTATATGTATATGTATATATATATATGCTATGTAGTATAGCTGCACATACGCATATGTTCATACACGCATGTTTGCATGTTTGCATCGTGCATTTGTGCATATATGCATACACACATAAAAGATGTGTATGTATGTATGTATGTATGTATGTATGTATGTATGTATGTATGTATGTATGTATGTATGTATGTATGCATGTGTCTATGTGTGTATGTATGTATGTATGTATGTATGT